CATCCCCACAAACTATCAGCTGTGCTTCTCCCCTCCTCCCGACCCCTGAATCAGTCAGTCTGCAGCTGTGTGGTGGAGGATGACTTTCTGAAATCATGACCTAGAGCCAGTTGACTCTGAATGTACTGATCAAAAGGAGAAATGTCAATTGTGCCGCGAACCTTGTTGGGCGTGCATTTTTTTAGGGGAAATCACAGATAAAAACTAATTGCATGTGACAAAGTAAGAAGTCTGACTACAGCACATACATGAAAAAGGCAGGTTTTAAACGTCAAATTGGGGAAAGGGCTGGATACCAGTTTTCAGCCAAAATTGGGAGGCTTTCTTGAAACAATTCAGATGTCCTCCCTTTGGGGCACAGGGAGACAGGCAAGACAGTGACAGGGGAGGTAATTTTCTTTCTTAAGCCAATCTGTTACCCCACTCAGGAGACAGAGGACCTCAGCTTGATCTTCTTGAGTACTGTCAACAAATAAATGGATCTCACCTCATCTGGTCAGGGAGAGCAACACACTTTTCTCAGAGGTGGCTATGAGATAGAGGAAGATCACCATGAAGCACTTTCTCCTCTAGGCAGAGGGGGAGAGAGAGAGAGAGGGAGAGAGAGAGAGAGAGATGTTGAGCAAATCTAGACTGCTTGATTTTCTCCCACCAAGATGAATACCTGAGACCTGAAGGCTAAGGAGTCTGCTATGGCCTCGTCTTACCTTCCGAACACTGCTTCAGTAGCTGACGTCACATGAATGGGAATGCTTCTGAACTGGCAGGCACCATTTTGAAGGCACAGGATTCAACTTGGGTTCCATATGCCTTTGAGTCCCTGTGTGGGGCCCAGGAAACCATGGCTAAACAGAAGGACAAAAAGCAAAGTGATCATAAAGGCTAAAGCCAGCTGACGGCCCATTTTTCCTTCTTTCCCTCTTGGGTACTTTCACTACAAATGCTAGGGATTAAGCAGAGCAGAGTTATCATGGCTGGTTGCCTTACTTTTCATAAATTTGTCCAATCCTCTTTTAAAGCCATCCAAGTTGTTGGCCATCGCTTTCTCCTGTGGGAGCAAGTTCCATAGTTTATCTGTGCACTGGATGAAGAAGTACTTCCTTTTATCTGTCCTTATTCTTCCAACATTCAGCTCCATTGGATGTCAATGAGTGCAAGTATTATGAGAGAGGGAGAAGAGCCTTTCTGTATCCACTTTCTCCATGGCATGTATACTTTTATAAACTTCTATCATGTCACCACTAAAAAATTGGAATGATGCAAACAAACCTGACTGTACCAAAATAAAAAGAATTCCTTCCAGTAAGGAAGACCAACTGCAGTTGTTAACAGTCGTCAACAGGTTTACCACACCTATCTGCCAATCACCCATTTCCACCACCCTTCTGAGTAATACCCCTCCCCACCCTCTCACTATATATAAGGGTCTGGTGAATTCTGTTTCAGTGTATCTGAAGAAGTGTGCATGCACACGAAAGCTCATACCAATAACAAACTTAGTTGGTCCCTAAGGACCAACTGGAAGGAATTTTTTTAATTTTGTTTCGACTACGGCAGACCAAGATGGCTACCTACCTGTAACTGCAGCTGAATTCTGGCAGCTGAATTCTGCACTAATTGAATCTCCTGAATTGCCTTCAAGTTAAAAAGTCCTCATGAAAATTTGTCAGCAATTTAGAACAAATTTCTCCTAATGTTCACATTTTCTCTGGATGCATTTTTGCCTGATGTGCACACATCATTTTTGCAAGTAATCACCCGAGTATAATACATTTTATATGTTATTTTTACGAATGCTTTTGAATGTACACTATACTCTAGTATTCACATTATTGTAACACATTATTTGGTTGGAGAACTGCATCACCAAATTGGGAGAAGTTCAGATTTTGAAGGACACCTGCATTTGTGTCCGCATGCTATCCATCAACTCAACAAGCGGAAAGCTATGTCCCTCTTTGGGAATGATGGTGCAAATGTAATCTAAGATGTGTTGTAAAGATAATTAAATGGAGGAGAAGCATCCTATGTGGGCATTTCTGAGGCATTTTAATATTATGTGCAATTATAAATCTCCCTGGCTAGCTATGCTGAATTAAATTATCCTATGGAAAAGTAAATTGGTTTGAGTAGTGCTGGTAAATCTAAGCTAACGACCACGTCTTCCAGTACGTTTAGTTACTCCTCATTATATTTGCATTTAGAGGATCCTGTACAGTACACTATGGAGTTTCTTTACTGCCTTACAGTGAAATCCTTCACCTGAAGCTCAGGTGAAATGGCCACTGCTGCCCAATCTCAGGACTGTGCCAGGGACTTGACAGAACACAGTCAGTGGCTCTTATTGGAAGATCCAGTACAGTGAATGTTGGACATGGGCTGAGGATCTGTGGGTTCAGAAGCCTGGTCGGGCATGTGTGATGTGAAGCCAGTCAATACTGTCCAGTCTCATCCAGGTGTAGCAAATGGGGTGCCCTCCAGATGTTGGACTACAATTCCCATCATCCCTGTTTTGGGAGTTGCTGGCTTGAACCGATGGAGTCCAACAGTATGTGGAAGGCACCACGTTCATCACCCCTGGTCTAAACTATCCATAGGTACATTCATTCTTTCTTTACCCTGGTTTTTGACACTTGAGATGTATGTTTTTGGAACCCACTTTATTTCCATGATTGTAAGTTGTTTTAAGCTGTTTTTGATATTGTGTTTTAATAGTACTGTTGCGTTTTGCCAATCAGAAGGTCGGTGGTTCAAATTGGTGCGACGGGGTCCCAGCTCTGTCCCAGCTTCTGCCAACCTAGCAGTTTGAAAGCATGCCAGTGCAAGTAGATAAATAGGTACCACTGCGGTGGGAAGGTAAATGACATTTCTATGTGCTCTGGCACTCATCATGGTCTTCCGTATGTCAGTAGTAGTTTAGTCATGCTGGCCACATGACCCGGAAAGCTGTATTTGGACAAACGCCAGCTCCCTCGGCCTGAAATTCTGAGATGAGTGCCGCACCCCATTTGACTGGGCTTAACCATCCAGGGGTCATTTATCTTTTACCTTAATAATAATAATAATAGTTGCAGCAGGGGGTCAACTAGGATAACCCCATGTAGGTGTGATGGCCTGAGAATCTGATTCAGAGGCTGAACCGGAGGAATCCCAGCCTGCACAGGAGTCCCCGCCTCCAGGGCCGGCAGAACTGGGGCAGGGCCTTGATTCTGAAGCGCCTGCACCTGTACCGGATCCTCAGGAGCAGGCACCAGATGAATCCACTCTGGCTCCAGAAGTGGTTGAGGACTCAGTGCCTACAGGTGAGTCTCCCCCTGGGTCCAGTAACCCTTCAGCCTCTCCTGAACTGCAGAGGCTCAGGGCAGAGAGGCGGAGGGAACTGGTTTCTCCCAGGAGGAGTGCTCGCCTTAAGGCCAGGAGAGGCAGGTCTCCTGGGGGCCGGGACCGCCCCTGGCCTCAGAGAAGATAAAGGCCAGTCAGCCCGGTCCCAGGTTGCGGGAGCAACGTCGTTGAAGAGCTGTTTCGGCCAGCACCCAGTCCAGTTCCCCCAGAGTTCCTGTCCTTGCCCGGCTTCTCACTGTGGACCCCGCTTCGCCCATGGAGGACTGTCTGCCGACCCTCGACTCAGGTCCTGGACCTCGCCCCACGGTAACCTCCCCCCTGGACCAGCACAGTAGGCTTCTCTAAGCTCCTTGGAGAAAGTATGGGATACATACATAATAAGTGGGATCAGAGAGCTAGAGACGTCTTTGGAGGCCATCTGGAGCAAAGCCCTGTTTGATGCAGGAATTGCAATGCTGCAGCAACCCCAACAGATGGCTATCCAGACTTTGCTTGAAGCTACCTTCCATTCTTTAGTGATGGGCTCGCAGTTCTGTTCATGCGTTTAATACTACATTATCAGCAGGAGCAGATCACCAGGTGTGGGTGGAGCTGCAATCATGTCCTGTTGGCAGAAGCATTACTGAGAGAAGGGGAGGGAGGTCTGAGGTCAGGGCTGCACAAGCATGCTGGTGGAGCAAATCCAGCATGCTTTCTACTATGCCAATGTAACCCAAGTTCACCACTGCCTTACCTCTCCCCCTCCTAGTCTGTGGCAGTGATACTTCTGCTGGGATGTTCTTGCTCTGCTGTTCCACTCACCAGGTGAGTTCCTGATTAATTGTCCCCAAAGACAAAGTTCACACTCTTCGCATTGGACCATTAAAGCTGCCTTTGTTGCTGAAAGAGCAAAATTAGATGTGATGTGCTTCCTGTGCCAGGTTGATGTTCCGACATTGCTGCTTGCCAGCTTGCCCTACCTGGGATACCGTCTCCCTCTGTGGCCTGAGCACAGTGAAAAATGTAGATTGTCTGTCAAATGCTGCCATCCGTCAGGAGCGCCAAAGTGCACCACCAGTGCATTCTAGTGCAAAAGGAGATCTGGGCTGTGTGTCAGACTCACTGGTAGTTAGAAATGGCTACAGATCAGGATTTCTCATGAGGACTGTTATCTCCCAAGGAGCAAAATACTTATGTCAAAAAACTGTAGACTGCCGTGCTTTGCAAGTGGACTGTTAACCTTTTCTTCCATTCCAGAGTGAGCTCTTGCCTGCTGGTGGGGTCCCTGTGGGCTTTTCCTCCGCAGTGATAATTGACCCTGGCAAGTTTTGCTTTTCCTGCAGGGCCCACCTTCACTCTGAAGGGATTTCCCCCGACATATTTTGAAAGAGTGAGAACCAAGTTGTTATTTGTTTGCTAAATGCAAACTGAAACCTAGCAAATTTCATTGAATTCTGTTGGGGCGGGGGGAGCTTCCTTCCATCTTCCCACAGCTGTTTTGCCTGAGCAGAACTTTCAATGTTTGCCTCTAATGCCAGTTTAAGTGGCAGCTTGAGTTGTAAGCTTGCATGTTTGGGCAGCTGGGTTGACAATGAGGAGGGTACAGGTGGGCATGCATCAGATGAATGCTTTTCCTTCTAGACTGAGCCTAGATGGAGCAGTTTCAGTGGTCCCTGTGATAGGTTACTTCCATTCCTGTTTAGAGCACCACTACAGCCCATAAATTGGGTGGATTCCAAGGGTGCCCATGAACTCACGTGGCCTCTGTCCACCAGCGTAAAGGGTGAGGAGACTCTTTTTGACAGTTACCTCTCCACTTTCAGTCCCACTGTGCAAGAAGAGTCCCATGCTCTTCTGGTTTTCATGGGGCACCAGGAGGAAGAAGGACCTGTCAAAATTTTCTCCCCTCCCCACCCTCCATTAGGGGGGTACCAAGAACTCTGCTTAGGATCTTAGGATCCAACTCATTGTGTTTCTGCAGCACTTGCTCCAAGATTGACTATATTTTAGTTTGCCATCTACCCCCACATTGTCTTTATACTAGAGACAGACTAGAACGACTATCCACGAGCTATTGTTTACCTCTTTTGAATTTCTTTCCTTGAATTGCTAGGGTCAAGCAACCAAAGATTAAATATAATGGGTGTGATCCAGAAAGGAGCATAGTTTTAATGTTTCATGTTGTATTATGTTTTTATATGTGTTGGAAGCTGCCCAGAGTGGCTGGGACAACCCAGCCAGATGGGTGGGGTATGAATTATTATTATTATTATTAGTAGTAGTAGTAGTAGTACTCATTTGTATAGCAGCTGCTTGGCATGCAAAGGTCCCAGGATCAATTATTGGCATCTCCAGTTAGGGCTGGGGATGTCCCCTATCTCTAGAGTTGGTCTGAGTTTATATTATATTTCTAAAGCTCTAGTCACTGTGCATATTTGAGTTCCATGGGCAAAGGGTTATACCTTCCTGCTTATACTGTACTCAACCCACTGTAGAGTTCCCACTGAATCCATGGAGAACTCCCGTCTTAAAAACAGGGCAGTTCCCCTATACGCACAACTTCCTGTGGGCACTGGAGACCCTGCATGTGCACCAAAGCTGCTAACTCACAGTCACAAGCAGGTAGAGAAGACCCAAAAGTTCTTTAAGTGACTTGGAAACTTACCTGGAAAAAGACATTGGTTTGCATAGTGACAAGTTTCTAACTGCCGTGTCGCAGTGCCTGGACCAGGTAACTAGCTGCTTTTTCTGGGTAGGAGGCCTAGAATCGCAACATTTGAGGAGGGGTGGGGTATAAATTCCGTGCATCTGCTCTCATTCTATGTGAACAGGTTTTCTTTGCTGGCAGAGGTACCTTTGTAAATGAAAGAGCTACTGAGACAGAAAGAAAAGATGCTGGTTTATCCTGGCAGATTTGTCTCTTGCCGTGTCATTGGATTGCTCTCCTGGTGTTGAAGCGGGGAAGAAGGGAGAGAAGGAGAAAAGTGTACAGACGTCAACCCTACAGGCTGTGGGGCAGAGAGGTGGGCAGGGAAAACAGCTACATGTCTCCTTTCTTCAGCAGTATGTTTCCAGTTCAGTTCCTGCATTAAGAAGACATTAATAGTCCCTGATGACGGTTTCACGCTCTGTTTGTATTCTTTCTAACAAGTTCCTTTCATGTTTTTCTTTTTTTGTGGGAATATTTTCTCGGGGGGGGGGGGAGTGCCATCTGCAGACGAGCTGCTAAATTGCTGCCAAAGAAATGCAACATGAAAACCTCTCTCTGGGATCAACGCCAGTGTCCTTTTGCCACATGCGCTGGTCTCTCGAGAGCCCAAGGGCACCCAAAGAGGAGAGAGAGAAATGCCTTTTATATCAAGACATTAGTGGAAATGATGAACTGCTCGTGGTCAGTGACGATCCAGCATGGAACGAGGCCATCCAGTGGGAGATTTAGAGCAGAAAAAAAGAAAACACGTCTTCACATGTGGCACATAGTTAGACTGTGGATTTTGCTCCCACAAGAGGCCGCAATGGCCAGCAGCTTGGATGGCTTTAAAAGGGGATTAGACTAATTCATAGAGGATAAGATTACTGACTAGAATGACTATGTTCTCTCTCCGCTGTTGGAGGCAATATGCCTTTGATTACCAGTTGCTGGGAATCCCCAATGGGGAGAGTGCTGTTGCCCTCAAGTCCTGTTGCTTGTGGGGTTCCCAATGGGATAGGCTTCCAATTGGCCACTGCAAGAAGAGGATAGTGGACTAGATGGGCCTTTGAGTATGATTCAGCCCATCTCTTCTGATGTTCCTATGTAGGCTGGAAGTGGACACCACTACAGAAGTGCTTGCACTTGTTTTGATGTTACATTGGCAGGAGAAAAAAGTGTGACTACAGTGTTAGAAGTAGATCAAGGAGTCCTGGGTTCAAATCTGCACTCTTCTACAAAGCTTGCAAAGTGACTGGCCCAACATCATTATCTCATAGCGTGGCTTACTTTACATAGTTATTATAAGGATAAACGTGTGTGTGGAACAGTGAGTTCCTTTGAGAAAGAGTCTGCCTTGACATCCAAGAAATTTAGACAGCCTTATCAAGACTCCTTCGGCTTTCCTTGAATTCTTTTGAGGTTTGGCGTAATAGGAATCTGGAGGTGGACATTTAATTTTGCTGCCAGGAAAATCAGTGGCAGCTGAGGACAACATTTCTTTTTCCTTCTCTAGAAAATGTTTAGGTGCTTTGAATGAGGAGGAGCCTCCAAGTTCACTTTGAATTGGCAAATGAAGCCAGAGACAACCCAGAGTTGTGTGGAGCCTTCTGATAAGTACATTGGAATCCTTCAAGTGTTTTGCCCTGACGTATCTTACAGATCTTGCCAACAAAGGTCCATATAGTTATAGCCATGGTTTTCCCAGTAGTGATGTATGGAAGTGAGAGCTGGACCATAAAGAAGGCTGATCGCCAAAGAATTGATGCTTTTGAATTATGGTGCTGGAGGAGACTCTTGAGAGTCCCATGGACTGAAAGAAGATCAAACCGATCCATTCTTAAGGAAATCAGCCCTGAGTGCTCACTGGAAGGACAGATCCTGAAGCTGAGGCTCCAATACTTTGGCCACCTCATGAGAAGAGAAGACTCCCTGGAAAAGACCCTGATGTTAGGAAAAATGGAGGGCACAAGAAGAAGGGGACGATAGAGGACGAGATGGTTGGGCAGTGTTCTCGAAGCTACAAACATGAGTCTGACCAAACTGCGGGAGGCAGTGGAAGAAAGGAGTGCCTGGCGTGCTCTGGTCCATGGGGTCACGACCAAACGACTAAACAACAACAACATCTTACAGATCCATACCAAAGGGCTTTATCTCAGCAGTAGAGCAGATGTTTTGCATGCAGAAGGTCCCGCATTCAATCCCTGGTATATCCGGGTAGGGCTAGGAATGTCCTGTCTGAAACCCCAGAGAGCCACTGCCAGAAAGCATAGAGACTATACTGTAAACAATACTGAGCTAGGTGGACCAGTGGTTTGACTTGGTGTAAGACAGTTCACTTGCAGTAGTCAACAACTTTGGCTCTCTCCCCCCCCCCCAAAGTTCAACCACTCTGGTCAATCCAATGGGGAGATCACTGCCAGTTTATTTATAGTGGGAGTAGATTGCTGTCTCTTGGATTTTCAGACGCCCAAGACTTAAAGTTGAGAAATTGTGCACACAGGTTTATGGAGCAACTTGATGTCGGAGTCTGTCTCATCTGTCGGTAGCTGTGATTTCTTCAAGTGTGGGATTTTGCCCTGCTGTTCATGCCTGCCTGGAGAGCTGGTGCATCCTAATGACTGCAAATGCGAACTGTGAATTAGAAAGCTCCCAGTTCATAGCTCACCCGTGAGGATGGTGATTCAGACGCCTCAAGGAAGGAACCAGAATCCCCATCACTAGCAATGCACCAAATCCACTTACTCTTCTGAAGGCTGCCAGCAGAGAAAATAAAATGCACTCAGAGGCAGCCCAGTGAATCCAGAATGTATCTGCTATCTGTCAGCTGAGACTTAGGGCGTTGGTAGGTCTGCTTCACTTTTGGGACTCAGGGTTTATCCACACTTATCTTTCCTCTGCTCTTTCCAGACACAGTCTGTGATTTAAAGCTTTGTGTCCGAGCACCTTCCCCCACCCCCCAGAGCTTTCCCTACAAAACCTGCTCTTTAAAGCACAACCGGAACAAACTGCAATCCATGGAAAACCCAAACTGATGCTTGCTCTGAGCTCTAAACAGGGGGTTTTCGCAGGGGAAGTTCTGGGGCAAAAAGCAAGAACACTCACACACAGAGCTTTTAAGTGCAGACTTGTGCCTGGAAAGAATGGGGCAAAGGGTAAGTGTGGATAAGCCATCAGTTATGTGCAGATGACTTGTCAATGCAAGGTGTGCTTGCTGTGAACTTTCCGTGGTTCTGAAGAACCTGGTCCTGCTCTGTTATCCAGATTTTGCCCCTTGCAACCTGCTAGCCTGACACAACACATGGTACATATCTGTTAACTGGAACCAGGCAAGCTGATGACTAATCAAACCTTGCTTCATGAGCAGGGAGGTCTCTGACTGGCTTGTGCAGGACAGTTTTATGGGCAGCTGCTTCTGCTTCTGTTGTAGCATAACATTCAGTGCCCAGTTACAATGCATTTTGCAGCCCAGCTGGAGATTTTAAAATGTTTAGATAAAAATGGGAGGGGGGCGGGAATAGCCATTCTTATTTGAGAGGTTATTAGGGCTTGGTTAAGTAGCAGCTGGTGTCGTGGAGCAGAGCCACAGAGCTCATCTTCCATCAATAGGGTTGTTGTAGCTTACCAGAATAGGGCTGGGGAGGTTGACGCTGTACCAGAGCCCATCCAGTGCTCCCACTTTTGCATCTGTGCAGCCCTGACCTCACTGCCACGCCACCTCCATCTCAATCTAGGTGAGCTGTAGAGTCGCCAGTGACAGGAGGGCAGCTCCACAGTTCTGCTCTACCACACCTTCTGCTGCTGGTTAATTCCCAAAGAGGATCACACTAGTTCTGGATTCAACCCCCCTTCACTGTCCAGATGCAGTAATTCAGGTCCATCCCTCAAGGGCTCCTTGGCCTTTGTCTTGGCTGGCACCACTGTAATTTTTGAGCCACCGGCACTGCAAGCTAATCCCAGGAATGCGTGTTCATATATGAAAATGTATGTCATATGAAGAATGGTCACAGTGGCTCCTAATGCACAGTATCATGCTAAAGTGTGTCCATCCCTCCAGGGCAAATAGACAGGGAGGAAGACAGATAAGCCTTTGAAAGATCTGTTTCAAGAGGCCAGTTTCACAGAATAGGCACACAGTGACTTTTGTGTACAGAGGGGGAAATAAGGGAAAATAAAAAGGTTCTTTGCTTTATTGTTCATCAAAAAGGACAAGGGGCAGATGCCAGGAACAGATTTTTCTAGGGCATGATTGAGTTAGTGAAGGAAATTAGGGTCAGGCTGGAACAGCTGATCACAACAGCCAAATGTTTGAAGGCTGCAGGGGGTGGAGGAGAAACCTAGATAGCTGAACAATGTAGAAAAGAAAAGAAAAGAAAAGAAAAGAAAAGAAAAGAAAAGAAAAGAAAAGAAAAGAAAAGAAAAGAGGGGAGCCGCTGGCAGATGTATGCTGTGAGGAAAGATTTGGAGTTGGTCCAGGCATGCATGGACTGCATTGAAGCTGGATAGAGAATGGCTAGAAAGAGGGAAAAGAAATCTAAAAACCTGCAAGCAAAATTTAATGAGAAAGAGTGTGTGTGTGTGTCTGAGAAATGTTCCTGGAGCCTGCAAATTTCTGCAGGTTAAATATTCCAGGGCTGTTGATATAGTCTGATGGAAGCAGAAGTTTATCTTCAGGCCTCAGATGTGGAGTGGGAGAAAGATGGCAGTCATGATCCATGATCCATTTTCTCCTTCACCTCCTGACCAAGCCAAACCGGACATTTATCCTCAGCCCATCCTCTTCATCCTCCCAAACCCACACCTCTGCTCCCCACCCCCATTTTCACTTCCCTGTCCCTTATAATGTGCACTGGTTGGCACTCGCAAAACCACCCACATCTCCTGCCCCTATGGATCCAGCCTTGATCAAGTTGCAGTTTTGTTCACTCACCTGTGGGTGAGACACCCTCTCTAGGTGAGACACCCTCTCTGCTGACCACTCCCTTTTCATCAAGCCTGCTTGCAACCTGTCCCACCACAGGAAGCTTCATTCCTGGAGCAAAGTTACTAAGGAAACTCTATCTAAGGTGATAGTTACCTCTAATTTATGTCTCTCTAACAGTTACCCCTTCGGGTGAATGAATCTGTCGATTTTGGCTTCTCTCCATTTCTCACTTTTCCAATATTAAGCTCAGTTACTTCTACATCAAGTTCTCTTGAAAATTCCTCAGTGTTTCAGAGCAAATTCATCCTTTTATACCCATATTTGTATGCAGTTTTGCCCAATAAACTCATTGCTGCAAATCAGGTTTCCCTAATACAATGCATGTATTTATGTTGCTTTCTTTAACATATGTACCTTTACACGCATTTTGTCCTGGAGAACCGCATTGCAGTCCATGTTACTGGAGAACCGCATTGCAAAATTTAGAGAAGTGTGAGTTTTGCAGAATGGCTGTGGTGTTTTTTTTTACCTTGCCTGCCACTTTGGGAAATGGATCTGGTGTGTTACAGTCTAGCAGAGGCCGGTTGGTTATGAGTTCCAGAGTTGACGGGGTTCGATGCAAAATGCCTTTCCCCGCCAGCTTAACAGGCTGGCAAGCAGGGTCTCTGCTGTTGATTTCTTGTATAAAGTTCCACAAGAGGGACATACTGTTGGAGGTCTACTTGCCAAATGGCTGGATGGCTATCAAAGTTCAAATGAATCTTTTTGCTGAAAGACACCAATAAGATGATGATCTATAAGATAACTCCTTTCACAGTGGAAGCTGCCGAGAGTTAACAAATTGTGAATAATGATTTACCAGGCAGTAAACGTGATGGTTATTAATAAGTTTATAAATTCATTTTTTATTTAGTGGACTATACAATAGATCTGGATGTCATTAATGAATTTGAGACACATTACAAGGCCATTTTAATTAATTTATTTTTTTGCTGTACAGTAAAGAAATGGTTGGTTGCTTAGTTGGTTGGTTGATTTTTGGAGTAAAATAAACTCTGTCCAATTCAATATGAGGCTTTTGGAACCTGTAACCAAGATCATATGTGCCATGGCTCATAAGGGCTCAAGCCTTTTATTTTGAACACCTTGACTTACGTCTAGGACATGTCTACAAAAAGAAAAGAAAAAGTGTGTAACCTGTAGGTGCCCAGAACGCAATGCAGAACCACTGGGTAACCAAAGCCAGAGACCATATGCAGCTAGGAATTAAATAAAAGGACTTCCAAGTTAAATAATGTGTCTTCTGGTGAAGTTTGAGCTGTATCTTTTTTTCTTTTAACATGAATTGAGTAATGCAATCTCTATTCCAGACAATCTAGTTAAGGGACGTTGCTTCTGGGGACAAATGATATTCCTAGAGAATTCAGTTTTTCTTTCTGTGGCAAAAGAGTTTCTGTGTATTCTGTGTCTGCCAGGATTTCAAGGATCAGGAAGGCCACGTGAAATAATTCCAACTGGGCAGGAGATAATCAGCTGGAAATGTATGCACGAGTGTGTACACACACACACACACACACACACACACACACACGTACACGTAAAGGAGCAAGTAGGCATACAGAAGCAATTGAGCTTTAGATGCAATTTTCATTCCATTAAGTGTAAAGACTGTCTGCTTTACATTCCTCAGCTACAGAAGGTCTGTGCAGGAGGCATTTTCCTATTTTGATGCTTGGTAGACTATGAAATGTTCTTAGTCACACTGCTCTGTCGTTGATCACAAAAATTGCTCTGATCTCCCACTAATAAAAGCTCCTTAAAGACAACATCTTAATTCTTTTCAGAACATGAATACCTCTTTTCTCTTTTGCACATTTTTGATGCTCCTGAATGCAATCATTTTTTAGGAGATGGGATGTTGCTGTTGCTGTTGTTGTTACAGTCTTTTTCAGCTACTATATTTACTTTGTGGGTGTTACTAGCCAGCAAGGGGGTCTGTGCCCAACATCTCTGTACACCATGATTACCATTTCATAATTGTTTTGCCTTGAGTTTTGCATGCTAAAAACTATCTACCATAGGTTCATGAAGGAGGAATGGCATTGGTGTATGTGATCTGATTATGGACTTCCTTTCCAAGGGAGATCTGCCTGGTTCCTTCTTTATTTTTTTTAAAGCAGCAAGTGATTTGTCCTCTTAACATAAGTGACTGGTGGGTGATTTGTTTATATTGCTTGACTCTGCTTTCACTAGGCTGGTCTGCTTGGTTTAGTTAATTAACTTTGTTTTCTTGCTGTTAGGTTTTTCTGGCTGTTGGTTCATTTGTTTCAGTTTATTTTAAGTCCGCTTACCTTAACTGGTGGGCGGTTTTGTGGCCGGGCCACAGGCCCCTGCAGTGATCCAATGAGGGGCCAGAGTGTGGCTGCCTCCCTCCTGGTGATTGGCCAGGGCAGCATACTTTGGGCATGTATGGATGGACTTGTGTTCTAGCTGTCTTTCTTAGGGTGCATTCGAAATGAGGGTCTATGATGGGCCTGGACTTTGACTGTTCAAAATGGTGTTGTGTGGTTATCCAAACAGTGCAAGTATGATCAATAAAACTAATAGCCAGTGACCAGTCAAGCATCAGCACTTTGATTTAAAGTGCTCCCTGGTTGCCATGGCAGTAGGTTAGGTGGTGGACACCTGCACAATCTGATGTAGCCAAATTTTGTAGGCGTACAGTGGTACCTTGGTTTATGAACGTAATCCATTCTGGAAGTCCGTTCTTAAACCAAAACCATTCTTAAACCAAGGTGTGCTTTCCACTGCCGGTGCCCTTCCACTGTTCGGATTCCATTCTTAGTCCAAGGTAAAGTTCTCAAACCAAGACACTATTTCCGGTTTTGCGGAGTTTGTAAACCAAATCATTCTTAAACCGGACTGTTCTTAAACCAAGGTACCACTGTAGTCTCTTCTCAAGAATCCTCAAGTCTTGCACCTGGTGTGTGAAGCTCATGCATATTCAGCCTCTCTCTGAGTTTCCTTAACATTTCCTACTCACTGATAGTAGAAGCAGGTGACATGGCACAAGATCAACCAGACAACCAATGTGACACTAGATGGCAATGGTGAGCCTTATGGAAAATTCAATGTATTTTTAAAATGTTTTTTTTTTTTAAAGCATTTTCAGAACAGTTTTTATATGTGTGTAGATTCCACCTTAATCTCAGTTCATTTACCCTTGCCGTCTCTGAGCATAGGAGGCATAGAAGACCAGAGTGGCAAGAGTGAGAACTGCAGGGATGTGTCCCCCTCCCCAGAAGAGGTCCCAAGTCAAAAGGAGTCGTATGTGGCTGAAGGGAAGGGAATTAGAGGACATCCCTAGAGGTGGGATGTAGTGTGCCTGTGGTAGATCATGGCTCTCACCACTCGTGTGACTGGGTGACAAAGTTGCATGGAGCCTCTGAGGTGTGAGAGTGACATTTCAGGCTTATTGCATTGTTTGTTTGATGTGGTAGATTTAAACCTGATTTATGTCTCAGTTATGAATACTCTTAGGTGTCAAGCAGCTCATCAGCTCTCCCCTAACTCATCCAATAGGGGGATAATAACATTGGCTTGCCTTACAGGGCTGTTATGATTGCTGGGATAATGACCTAGCTTGCATATAGTGCTAAGCTAAACCATGACATCGCAGTCACCTTGCTCCTCCTCTGGACTTTCTGCAACAGTGCTGCTGTGAGCTAAGCCATGATTTGCCTTGATGAGTTGTCTGAACCTGGGCTCATGGTTTACAGCTGGGTATAACAGCTTGTGCTTGTGGTTTACAGTTTGTGGAAGACAAACCATGAGTGTGGTTTGCAGCAGCAGCAGCAGGACCAGAGGAGGGACAAAGTGGCTACAATATCTTCTCCAGGAACCTGAATGCCTATGCATTCACACTAAGTTATGTGCAAACCAACCATATGTACATGAAGGAATCCCAACAGTTGAAATGTGCTATAGAAATGTCATGAACACGAAAGCGACGATATTTGTATTTTGCATGTGTGAAATAACACCAGTCAGCAATTCCTTCCTCTGAAGCCCTATCTCTAGACCCTTACTGGGAGAAATATGCATTTGTCTCTTATGCAGAGGTCGGAACAGACCATTGTGTGTGCAGAGAGTAATGGAGTGTGGAATTCCATGTCCTAAAGCGAGAAGCTGTAATCATTCTGTCGCTTGCATTAAAGGGCATCTTCTGCCTCACACAAGGCCTGGCAGGCTAGGAGCAGAAAGGTTGAGAGTCCTTGCTGCAGACTTCCCCGCTCAAAATTAGAATCTCCAGCGCAGCCATTTAACCTTCAGGCAGAAACTTAGCTATGAAGGATGTCTTCCCCCTATTACAGTTGATGCCTCTGGTTTTTAATTTCACTCCCCACAGAGGTCGCAGAACCGATCAAGTTGTGT